TTTCATACTCATCATTTTAACACCTTATTCGCAATGCCTCCGCGTTCAACTCAACAAAGCGGGCCTGCCCGAGGAGGCAGGGGAGGTAGTCGCGGTGGCGGCCGTCCTCCTCGAGCGGGCCCGCCTCAAATTGTTGGACGTGGGGCCCAGATGACTGGTGGAGGCGGCCAGCCCTCTGGGCTTCCTTCAGGTATTGTTACATACCGTATCTTTTCTTTAAGAATTCTGTGAAACAATTAATGGCATCTCCTGTTATTTCTCTGTTAAGCTCTTGTCAAAACAGTCGGTGTTCAACGAAAAGGATTTGGGACCCTTGGCCGAAAAATCCAGGTTTTCACAAATGCCTGTGAGGCCATGGTCCCTGAGGGACTGATTTATCATTACGACGGTGCGTCATTATGCTCTTCATGGATTTTGATAAGCTGACAAAAATTTTGTCTAATGATCTTAGTCGGTGAGTGTCCTGATGAATTGTTTGCCACACAATTATGCTCATGTACACAATCTTGAAGCCATCGTCACTGAAAAAACCATGCCACCTCGTGTTGCTCATCAGCTGATCAAACAGCTGCAAGTTCAGCCAGAATTTCACCCTGCTGGAGCATACGATGGCAAGAAGAACCTATACATGACACATTTGATTGATTTTGGAGGTCCCGATTCTCGCGATGTAAGTGAACTACATGAACTCGGAATCCATTGATTTCTGACACCTTGTATATAAAGTATAATGTTGCCATGAATGGCAACTCTCAGCCTCGAGACAGACCCCCTCGTATATACAAGATACGGCTCACAAAGGTTGCGGTCCTTAACCCAGAGTAAGTCGCGTTCGGGTAAAATTTCTCGTTCCAAGTGATGACAACTAACATTGCCTTTTCTTCAGAGGCTTACAACGTTTTATCGATGGACAACAGTCGTTTAGTGAGGCTGATCAAGCAACTCTGGGGGTGTGTTGCGGTGATTCTATCTGCTTCTCCTCACTAATGCATGTATTCAGGCTTTGAACATTGTTATTCGCATGCTACCCATGCAAACTCACCCATACAATTCAAAATCCTTTTTTACTGACACAGAAATTAAGAATGTTGGACATGGTTTTCAATTACGCCGAGGATACTTTCAATCGCTCAGGCCTGCAATCGGACGACTGCTCTTAAACATAGATCTTTCGACGGGGATGTTCTACAAGGATGGATCAGTGATAGATATCGCGCTTGAAGTAGTGGGCAACCGTGATCCAAACGCATTATCCATGGAACGGGGACTACCTAATAGCGTCTTCAGGGACTTAGAACGGTATTTGAAGAATGTTCGCGTTTCTGTCCGGCCAGCTGCTGCTGGCTCCCCTCCGCACATAGTCACAATCAGTTCTCTGACAAGGGAAGGTGCTAGCCGTATCATCTTCCAACAGAGGGATGGTACTTCGACAAATGTTGCTGCTTACTTTCGACAACTATCTGGCCGACCGCTCCAATATCCCAATATAATTTGTGCCAAGGTAAGTGTGTGGGAATTCCATCCTGTATCCTGTAGCTCACGGTTATCGTGTCCCAGACTGCCAAAGGAGCAGTGTTACCATTCGAACGTTGCACCATCGTGCCGGGGCAACTTGCCCGCATGCAGATACCCCCCGAAGTCACCCGAGAGATGGTGGAGTTTTCTACGAAAAGGCCAGAAGATAGACTGCAGAGTATCAGGAATGGGTTCCGGGTTAGCCTTTGCTTCACCATTGCTTTTGATGTATATCTACTCATCTCTCCTTCCAGGTACTCGCCTATGGTCAATCTGAATACGTCCGTAGTTTTGGCTTGTCTATCAATGAACAAACGTTCCCCATGACGATAGAAGCTCGACAATTACCTCCCCCACAGCTTCTATACGGTCAAGGAAGTAAAGACAAGGTTTCGGTGAGTCGTGGCACCTCTTTCGAGTCTGGTCTTAGTGTTGATAGTCTTTGTTTCCTTCTTTGTCATGCAGAAACCCCGCGACGGAGCGTGGAATATGTAAGCTCATCCCTGAACGTTGCACAAAACCAGTTCTTCACAGGCGTTGTTGTACAGGATCGACAAGAAGCTATATAAACCAGAGTCTATCAATAGATGGGCGATGGTAGTATTCGATACTCGAACTCGTCAAGATACTGCTTTATCCGTGGTCCGATCTTTTATCGAAGGATGTTTGAGTGTCGGTGAGTCTTTCGATGTTTCGATCGTTATTCCTTGTACTTATAGTAATTGGGAATCATTTCAGGTATTAATGTCGTAGAACGTGTTCCGGTAATTGAACATGCGTCGGGGCAAGGCGGCATTCAACAAGTTGCTACTGTTTGTTTCGAAATCCATCCCTTCATTTGGTGGTTTATTCATTATCTGCATCTAGGTCTTGAAGGCCGCTGGTATGAAATGTGTGAAGAAGAACAATGTTGGGAAAGGACCTGACATGTTACTCATCATCCTCCCTGACGGGGGAAATGACATCTACCGTGCAGTGAAGCAGTGAGTTATACTTCCCTGTAGTCATCTCATGATTGACCCATGTGTGTCTCCCCCAGCTTTGGCGATGTTACGGTACGAACGATAATTCTCACCAGCCCAGCTTCTCTTCTCCTCTGACTATCCAACGTATCATAATAGCAAGGTGTGGTCACCCAATGCCTGAAAGCATCGAAATGTAACCGGGCCAAACTTCAATACTGGGCAAATGTTTGTCTCAAGTGGGTTCCGATACTTCACATTTCATGTACACGTTACAATCCGAGTTTTTCATCTCTTCAGGCTTAACGCTAAACTCGGTGGAATCAACGTCGTACCAGATGCCGCAGCATCTGCGCATCTGAGCGATCTGCAGAATCCGACGATCATCATGGGTATGTTATATGTTCTGTAACTGCGTCCTTTGTGACTGATTGGCCCCGTAGGTGCGGACGTGATGCACCCTGCCCCAGGCTCCGATGCACCCTCCTTCAGTGCAGTCGTTGGGAGCGTAGACAGTCTAGGCGTTAAATATATCCCCAGGACCCATGCACAAGCTTCCCGGCTGGAAATCATCGCTGACTTGCATACAATGGCAAAGGTAAGCCCAGCCCATTGCTTTCCTCCTCAATGATTCCTTGACTCCACGTACTAATTCATTCGTTCGCTTGTTCCTTCTTTTCACAAATCCGGCAGGACATCCTCGCAAGCTTTACAAGCTACCAGCTCAATGTGGAGAAAAAACTCCCGCAATTCTGTAAACCGAAACGACTGCTTTTCTTCAGGGATGGCGTTTCGGAAGGGTATTTTGGGCAGGTCATGGAGCAAGGTAAGATTGATTGGTCTGGTCTCTTGGGGGGAATGGATGTCGAATTTTTTTCGCTTGATTACTGACGATAGTCTTTCCTTGTTTCGTTTTTTTTCTCTTCAGAGGTGGCCGTTCTCAGGAGTGCGTTGTTTTGTTCTACTGTTTCGAAAGTTACCGATTCTGACTTTGCCTTCATCAGAGGTCTGTCAAGAACTAGGAATTGCACCCAAGATCACGTTCATCGTCGTCGGTAAACGGCACCACTACCGGTACGTTCAAAGCCAATGAATCTTGGTACCTCTTCTCCCCTTTATTTCTTTCTTTTCTTTGCTCCCCAAACACCAGGCTAATCCGTTCCCTTCCCTCCTATCCTTTGTGTACGTAGCTTCTTCCCTCGAGACCCCAATGCCCGTGGTGAAGCAGACAAGAGCGGGAACTGTCTTGCGGGAACCGTCGTCGACACAGGAATCACGCACCCCCTGGAGTTTGATTTCTACCTCCAGAGTCATGGGGGTCTCTTAGGCACCTCGCGATCTGCGCATTATTCGGTTTTGTATGATGTGAGTTGATATATATAGTGGATTTACATACATATCTCATTCCGGTTGTTTGGTGATTTAGGACAACAACTTCACACCGGATGCACTACAAAGTGTTGCATATCTATTATGTTACATATATGCTCGTTCGGTATGTCGCTTGTGGTTTTGTTAGCTGGCGCTCACACTCTTTCCTGGGGGTATGATAATAGACCCGATCCGTGTCTATCCCTGCTCCGGTGTATTGTACGTCCCTCTCTCCCTCTCTCCCTCTCTACTCAACCTCTACCCTTTCCCTCTCCCTAACACCTTCACACCCCTTGCCACACATACTCACACTCACCCTCCCCCAGATGCCGACATCGTCTGCTCTCGTGCGAAAATCCACTACGACCCAAGTGGTGTAGATTTGTCCGACGCAGCGAGCACGGTCGCGACGGAGAATCTGCAATCCTTCATCGATGGGTTCAAGCCGTTGCATGGGTTGCATAAGACGAAGATGTATTTTATGGTGAGTGGGTTGTTCGGTCTCCGTATTAACTTTTACTTCTATCTGGCCTCTGGGACTTGACGTTGTGCTGATCATTGATATTTGTACAGTGAATGGTGTTAGATTCATTCTGTGTTTCGGCACTCCACGAGTACGAGTACGACGACGATTTTTTTTTTTTTGGATTCATTCACCCATATGCCTTTTCTTTTCTTGCACCCTGCACCTTGCTTGTTATGATCGACTTTGTGATGTCGCTCAATTGCTTGCTATGGACTGACTCGTCTTAACAATCCCTTCCTCTTCGATAAGCTGAGCTGCACGTCTATTGGTTAACATCTTGCTGCTGTTTATTGTTTGCTTTCCACTGTTCATTGTCTGCTGTCCGCTGTCCATCGTTTTCTGATTCACTCTCGACTCTCCTACGACGTAATGACTACGATTCTACGAATACCCATTTATCTGTCTTTGCTTCTGCTTTTTGTTTTTTGTTTTCGTTTTTCCGTTGTCAATGTTGTCGATGACTACACGCTGCCTCTTGATCGATATCGCCTGCTTTTTGGCTTAGCTAATGTATATGAAATTTTGTCTAAATTTTGTACAATGAGCATAACTGACTACTTTTGAGCTGACCGTTGACCGCTGACCGCTGACCAATTATTGCAAAAAAGCTTCGCTTACATGATATATCCCTGGTAGTATATCGGTTTAGTACACGCGCCTGTCATTAAAGGTCATTAACTGGAATTTGGACGCGCGAAAGCTGGGTTCGACTCCCAGCCAGAGAGTGGAATTCACGGCTTAATGTGATTCTTTTTTCTTCTTTCTCTTTCAAATATTCGAAATTTACGGATTCATCAGGTGGTGAAGTGTTCGATGTTTGAGAGGGTTGCTTTTTGTGATTGTATATTGTTGAAATAATTTTAAAATAATTTTGGGTGGCTTACATAAACATCGATCCTTTCCGACCAACGACCATGTCTCTAACACTAAACCTCTCCAACCCAACGCTAAAAGAACCCTACCTTTCCGTTCTCTCAAGCTCTTCTACAATCGACTGGGTTCTCTACACCTATGCCTTCGGGAACGACATCAAACTCCAATCCAGCGGCTCCGGTGGCTTGGAGGAACTCTGCGACGAATTTTACGATGGCCGTGTTCAATGGGGATTCGCCAGAGTCATTGATACAGCAGGGAATGGATTACCGAAATTTGTTTTAATCAATTGGTGCGGGGAGGGGGTACCGGAGAGCAAGAAGGGGCTGTTTGCGAGTCATAGTGCGGTGATGGGGGAGTTTTTGAGGGGAGCGCATGTTGTTGTGCAGGCGAGGAATGAGGTGGGTGTGCTATGTTTATGGACTTTAATGATTGGAATGTGTGTGTGCTGACTAGGATTGTAGACGGATGTAACGCCTTCAGCGATAATGAAACGCGTAGAAGCGGCTTCTGGAGCAAAGTATTCTTATCAACAAAACACCCATTCTTTTTCTTCTTCTTCATCTGGTTCTGCTGCTCCGGCGGTACAACAAAAACCACAGCAGATCCCCAAAATCGCACCCAATGTCGGATCAGGGTATAAACCTGTGGGGAAAGTGGACATGGCGGCGTTGAGGAACCAACAGCCTCAGGCTCCAGCGTTGCCGACGACGAAGAGACCCGTGCCACAGCAGCCGCAGACGGCGGGGTCGTTGTATGGTTCGGCAAGGCAGAGTGCGCCGGAGGATGCGTGGCCTGAAGAACAACGGGAACAGCCTCCGCCGCGGATGCCAGCTACATCGCGTCCCACAACGACGACTACGACGACCACGAGAAGTGGATTCGGGTCAATGTCACTTGGTGGTGGTGCTGCAGCACCAACTAGTCGTCCTTCCCCTCCACCTTCTGCTGTTTCTTCCACGGTCCCAACAAAACCTCCGTCCCACGATGACCTAATCGCACCAGTGGGATCGGCGTATACACCGGTATCGTTACCGAAACCAGGAAAATTGCGGAATCCTTTCGAGAAGATGGCGGCGGCAGGGCAGGAGGAGTCGACGACGACGCCGGTGAAACCAAGTAGTGCTGGTAAATTGACCTGGTCACAACGTCAGGCGATGGCGAAGAAAGAGCAACAGCAGGCTGGAGAGGCTACACCTCATCCGCCACCAGCACCAGCTGCTGCCGTTTCGTCTTTCACTCGCCCTACACCTGCTGCTACACGTGCTCCAATTAATCCTGCTCCGACATCTTCACCAGCGGCTGCGTCAAACGTCCCACGCACATTCGGTGCTATGAAACTCGGTGGAGGAGGTGCCTCTGTGATAAGACAACCGCCGCCTGTTTTAGCTCAAGACGAAGAGGAAGAGGAGGAGGAGACATGGGAGGCACCTCCTGCTCCTGTGTCGAGGTCGGTACCACCCCCGCCCGCCCCAGGTCCACCTGCAGTGCCTGTTGCCGCACGTCCAACGCAGCCAGTTGCTTCGGGAGGACCACCACCACCACCACCCCCTCCGCCTCCGCCAGTTTTACCAGCTGCTTCGGGAGCTCCTCCTCCTGCGCCGCCTCCACCTCCACCACCTCCAGTTGTATCTGGAGGTCCACCACCCCCTCCGCCGCCACCACCACCACCACCTCCGATGGTCCCTGTTGTACCACATGTTCCAGAACCAGAACCAGAACCCGAGCCAGAACCTGAATACACTCCCGAGGACACCGAACCCCAAACACAAACTCATCCCACCCCAGTCCACGGCCACGGCATCTGCGCCATCGTTATGTACTCCTACGAAGCAACCGAGGACAACGAGCTGTCTCTGAACAAAGGGGAGGTGGTGCAGGGTATAGAGGAACTCGATGAGGGATGGTGGAGTGGGTTTGTTGTTGGGGAGGACGGGAAGAGGGAAGGGATGTTCCCGGCTAATTATGTGGAGGTTGTGGATAGTGTGGAACCGGAGGAGGGTGGAGGTGCTCCTCCTCCTCCTCCTCCTCCTCCTCCTCCTCCTCCTCCACCACCACCTGTAGCCCCAGCAGCTCCGCCTGCACCAATTCCACCACCGCGTTCCCCATCCCCCACTCCTGCTCCCACCTCACATGCACCTGAAGCTGAAGCTGAAGCCGATGGCTACACAGCCATTGCCCTATACGACTACGAGGCTGCGGAGGACAATGAGTTGACGTTCAAGGACGGGGATGTCATCGTGGGTATTGAGGCTGTTAGTGAGGAGTGGTGGAGTGGAAGAGTTGAAGGTGGGACAGAGGTTGGGTTGTTTCCGGCAAATTATGTTGATATGCGGTAAGGTGGGGAGGGATAAGAGGAGGAGGAGGAGGAGGGGCGTTTGGTGTTTTTTTTGTGTTTCTTTCCTCAGTTTCTCACTTCACTGGACACAAATTCATGTCCGTTTATAATGCATATGGGTTTTGATTTACATTCAGTAATTAGAGTATAATCATAGCAGAATAAAGGACAACTGAATAAATAAACAAATAAATTCTAACCATCGAATGAATGAAAAAAAAGCTCTTAGAGTGTGTATGTACAATGGAGTATTGGATAAATGCATAAAACACATATGTAGTCTAAGGCTTTAGACATGTATGTTTAACTCCCTGGCTGGGAGCTCTACCAGGTTTTGGCACCTAGATCATAAATTGGATAAACATATAACATGCATGTGAATGAAACCAATATACTACCAGGAACTTGAGGATGAGTGTCTATGGGTATGGGTATCACTTATTGAGGTTACTCAAGTTCAAGATATTTATTGAAAGACAGTGTGTTGTTGACTTAACTATATAGTGTGCAAATTCTTGCATAACAGTTGTAGCAAAGAAATTCGTGTATTTGAGTCACAAGTATGTATAGGTGAACGGAATTATCAAAAAAAAGTATTGAACAACCATAAGCAAATTGGGAGATATAACAAAGACTTGTGACTAGAAAGGTGATTATGTATGGATAGGAAAGATGAGAAGATGGTTGTAGAGAAAATTTAGAGATAAAGGGAAGGAGGATGGAACATACATAGTATAGTAAGTAAGGCCAATGTTTGCTACTGATTTAAATTGATGAGTCAACCTGGGGTTTTGATCTTGTCTCAGTTTCATTGTTTTCCCCTTTCTTTTCCTGCTTGCAATGCAGTTCCATAAAGTCCCTGGGCCATAACATCAGCACCGTGTTCAACTAGATATTGTGAAATATCTAGTTGGCCAAGATGTGCTGCTGCCTGCAGTGCATTCCCATATCTCCCTCCTTGTGCATTGACATTTGTATTGTTCTCTACAAGAAACTTGACCATATCTAGATTTTCAGAGTGTACCGCTGCCTGCAGTGCGTTTCCATATTTCCCTCCTTGTGCATTGACATTTGCATTGTTCTCTACAAGAAACTTGACTATATCCAGTTTTCCCCTGAATGCTGCTGCCTGCAGTACATTTCCATATTCCCCTCCCTGTACATTGACTGCTGCACTGTTCTCTACAAGAAACTTAACTATATCCAGATTTCCATTGAATGCCGCTGCCTGCAGTGCATTTCCATATTTCCCTCCCTGTGCATTGACTTCTGCATTATTCTTTACAAGAAATTTGAATATATCCAGATTTCCCCAGACTGTTGCTGCCTGCAGTGCATTCCCATATCTTCCTCCTTGTGCATTGACATTTGCATTGTTCTCTACAAGAAACTTGACTATATCTAGATTTTCAGAGTGTGCTGCTGCCTGCAGTGCATTTCCATATTTCCCTCCCTGTGCATTGACTTCTGCATTATTCTTTACAAGAAATTTGGTCATATCCAGATTTCCCCAGACTGCTGCTGCCTGCAGTGTATTCCCATATTCCCCTCCTTGTGCATTGACATTTGCATTGTTCTCTACAAGAAACTTAATTATATCCAGATTTCCATTGAATGCTGCTGCCTGCAGTGCATTTCCATGTCTCCCTCCTTGTGCATTGACATTTGCATTGTTCTCTACAAGAAACTTGACTATATCCAGTTTTCCCCTGAATGCTGCTGCCTGCAGTACATTTCCATATTCCCCTCCCTGTGCATTGACTTCTGCACTGTTCTCTACAAGAAACTTAACTATATCCAGATTTCCATTGAATGCCGCTGCCTGCAGTGCATTTCCATACATCCCTCCCTGTGCATTGACTTCTGCATTATTCTTTACAAGAAATTTAGTTATATCCAGATTTCCCCAGACTGCTGCTGCCTGCAGTGCATTCCCATAATGCTTGCTCTGTCCATTTATATTGGCACCATTCTCCACAAAAACTTTGGTCATTTCCCAATTTTTGTTTGATATTGCCTTCAATAGTACCTCGTCTTTCCACTTGTTGGTTATGCCAAAGGGTTCAAGATTTAAAGTTTGTAACTGGGAGAACTTGAAATATTTTGAAATGACCTCGAATTCATTATTGGACACAAGATGGTTCCAATAATCTGTTGTCCCTTTTATAAATGAATCTTCCACTTCAGGTGAGAGGAAGGAATGAAAAATCACGTGAAATTCCAAGATGTACTTTTGTAAATCAGATTCCGGGAGCTTTGATAATGCAGCCCATATAGCTCTGGCAGTTCTATCTGCATTATTCCCAAGTTTAAGATATCCACTGCGCCAATTGTATATGAGAAATCTAACAATGGGTTGATGAAGAATTTCTTGAATGGATTGATTTGACTCTAGAGAAAGCAGCCAAACAAGGATGTCTTCCAATATTGACCTTTTACTGACATTATCCTTCAAATGACCAAGTTCAGTATCCTTCAATGAGGTTTGTGAAAATCTTGGGAATGTGACCTCCA